AAAAAAAAAAAAACAGAAAACAGAAAACTTTATAGGAGCCAAATGTACTGTTCTATTCTTTCAACTGATACGTCTAATCTGCTGGATCCGATGCTGAGTCCTGCAGTTATAAAGGATTCTGAATTTCATTGTTTATCGTAGGTTAAGTACCAAAAAAAGTAAATGAAGGAAAAGAAAAAGAAAATGAATAATATACTGTATACCTTTCCTTTTGCCATTATTCTTCTGAATTTTCTATCTTTTTTTCTTTCTTCATCGGTCATATTTACCTTTGCTCCATTTTTTTCTCTTTTTTACATTATCCCACTGTTAAAACTGTAATTGTTTTATGCTGTCATCGTTGATCGTTGCTGATTATAGGTGCTGTTAGCCAATTTTAAGCGGTAATAGGAGATCAAAAAACAGAAGAGAAAGAGATAATTAGGAGAAAAAAAGTTTTGGAAAAATTTTTTCAGTATGAGTAATTTTTTAAACATAACATTATACACTTTTTCTCATTTCTACGTTCTCCTTTTTTTTTTTTTTTTTGCTATTGTTGTTGTTGTTGTTGTTGCTGTTAGTTTTCTTGCAATTTTTTCGTTTTACGTTTTTCAATTCTGTTGTTTACAGATAGCGCTAAAACAAGTAAATTTTTTAATGATTATCGTTAACCACAGTTTTGTGTAAATGTCCGTACAGTAAACAAAATTGTACCTCAGAAAACTGAAGCTTTTTGCCATTTTGAACGTCAACACAGATATGAAGAAGAAATAATTTTTGCAGTAATTTGTTTTGTTCATTGACATACACTTGTAGAAAGATATATTTGAAGAAACAGTACTGAAAGCCAGAAAATTGAGTGTGAAAAATATTGCTAATAAACAGGAGATAAATTTTAAAGTATTAAGGATGATGATGTTCATACCTGAACAGTTAGTCAGTTTTGTTCGCCTATCAACCGACTGATATTGCGGAGTTGATGATTTGAAAATTTTTGGCCAAGGAGTAAATAAGAACGTTGACGAATGATGACGACAATGACCTTACACTGTTACTTAGTGCTAAATGATTACTTTGAAATTTTAACCACTTTGTTTTAGAAAACTTATTTCTTTTGCTCGTACAGTAATATACGCAAAAAAAAAGAGCTGATAACAAATTAAACAAATTTTTGAAGTGTTTTGGTTTTTTTCTCCCTCTTTCTTTTTTTTTTTCACTAAATTGACTCAACTTAATTATCTGCACAAATATTTGGCATTCGATAGGTTAGAAATCTCAAAACTCAAGCACAGTTAGTGGCAGCCAGAAGTCGACCTACACCGGTAGCTACTTAGAAAGCTTGAAAGAGCGTATTCAGACGTTGTACGACTTGTTGTCGCTCGATGCTGTATTGTACAACTGATGCCGTCAATTATGATACCTGGAATAATAGTTTCCTGGTATTTGAAGTAGGATCTGGTATCGCTATAAACAGCATCTGATTTGTTTCATTTTTCTTGATGTTGTTAAACCTTTTTTTCTTTCTGTATTATTACACCTATGTTAGCCAGGCAATTCAGACGAACAACTCGTTTTCTCTCTCTCCAAAAGAGAGAAAAAAAAGTAGCTGTTTTGTTAGACAGTTTTTTTTTTGCTTCTGAAACAAGTTGATTGTTTTACAGAAATGAAAAAAAAACCATATGCTTACGTATCAACAGGTTTTTATCTTTTTTTTTTGCGTTACTAAAACCGTAAAGAACTGTGAAAAATTACACTTACGATCTGTTTGATGTCACCTTTTAGTAACTTTTATTGCTTAACAGGTTTTTTTTCTTCTTAGATGACGTTATTGTATTGTGGAAGGAAATAATAAAAAAAAAGGTTTTCTTTTTTTTACTACTTTCTTGATCTGTTACAAGTCTTCACAGTGTTCGGTGACATCAAATTAGACTAAGATTTCTGTTGATAAGGACTACAATAGAACAGTTTATTAGCAGTTATAGCTCACAGACTTATCGTCATTATCACTTTGTTCAGTTGTATTTTAGTTAAGACGAAGAACAAAAAGAAGGAAAAATTACACGTGTAAGATATAGGATCAAAAATTTTTTTTCTACAAACAGCTAAAAAAAAGCTATTTTTTTGTATTTCAGTTCAAAAAAAAATTTCCTATGATTTTCCAGACAGTTGATTATCGCAAATTTTGCCATTTATCATCATTTTTTTTTTTGCTCAGTTTTAATAATGTTAAAGAAGTCTTCTGCCTGATACTTACCTTTGGTTTATGCCAAAAAAAAGCTGTTCAATTGGCTTTCTGTACTTAACAATTTATTCGCTTCGCTTGCATTTTTTTAGTCTTTCCTTCTACTTTTTCTTTTTTCTCTTTTCTCCTCCTCAACCTCTGCCGTTTACTATAGCCAATATTTTATTTGTTATCACCTTTAGCTGATAACTTGTTTTTCCTTCATTTGCACAATAATTTTAAGTTATTCGGCAGCATTAAAAAACGAAAAAAAAAAAAACTTGATCAGAATTGCATTAAACTGTATAGAATTTTAGGCTACTTTACACCTGTTGTTTTGCTGTTGTTGCCTTTCT